GAGAGGAAGTGGGGAAGTGGCGGAATCTTCCCCGCTCCACGATCCGGCTTGTGCCCGTCACTTCCCAATTTCCGCTCGGTGCCAGGCCCAGGAGACCAGAGGAAGGCGCGCCCCCGGTACACTCGCGAGTCTCTCAGGCGCGTCCCCGGCCCCGTAGCTCGGCTCACAGCGGCCGCCGCACCCACCCAGAGCCGCTGCCTTCCATTTGGAGAAAGGTGCCTGGACCGCAGGGGAGGAGTGGCTCTCCCCAACGCGCCCCAGCACCTCCGACCGCTCCCGCCGAGTTCCCCACCCCGCCCCACCGCGCAGCGACCGACCCCCGGGAAAGGGGCGTGGCTAACAAGCAGAGTGCCCGAGCGCGCCCGCGCCCGCGCCCCCGCCCGCGCGCGCCTCCGCGTTACCTTTCACCACGTCACACTCGATGACGCGTCCGCGGCGCTCGAAGAGGCTGCGCAACTCCTGGCTCGTGCATGCAGCCGACACATTGCCCACGAAAATCTTCCAAGTGTTAAGAGGCCGTGGGCGCGACATCTCCACCACGAGCGCGCGCCCCGGCCGCAACTCGTGGCCGTGCAGGGCCTCGATGGCGCGCAGCGCGCCCGCGTTCTCGCGCATGTGCACGAAGGCGAACTGTTTCATGACGGCGCAGCTCATGACCGTGCCGTAGGGCGCGAAGAGGGCTGCCAGCTCCTCCGGCGTCGTATCAGCCCCATCGACGTTGCCCACGAATATCTTCATTTTGCCGCCGCAGCCGCCTTCCCGGAGGGCCGGGACCTCTCCTCCAGCGACAGGCGAGACGTCCGACCGGCTGGCAGTCCTCCCCAGGAATGGCTGGCGACCGAGAACCCCGCCGCGCAGGCGCTCTGACTTAGCCAATCGGGACCCACATCCCGCGCGTCCAACAGCCAATCAGAGAGGCTGAGAGAAGATGCGCTCGGACGCAGCCAATCCCAGAGGGTCTGGAGCCCGCTCGTTAGCGGAGGGGCGGGAGAAAGAGGATCGCGCGCGACCAACCGCCACCGCCGGGAGTGGAGGGGGCGGGGGAGAAGAGGGTCGAGCTGGGGGAACGCGGGCTGGCTGCGCCGGCGCGCGAGAGGCCTGGTCCCGGAGGCGGCCTCCGGCCGGGGTAGGGCCGGCTCCGGCGCGCCGCTGGGAAACACTGTGTGGGTCGGAAGTCGGAGCTCCTCCCAAGCGGGCGCGTAGGCCAAACCCGCACCTGGAGGTAGCGGCGAGAGCGTCCGCGGGCCGGCCGGGCCTGGCGGCAGAAAGCGCGACAGATGCCTCCGGTCTGCAGGGGCCCTGGGCTGCGAGGGCCCGCGCCGGGCGCCTCGAAGCGGGTCTAGAGGCCTCTGCCGCGGAGAAACCCTCGGGCCGTCAGTTCGTTCTTGGAAACACGATCCCTGGCGGCGCTGAGGTCCGGCAGGGCCGACGCTGGAGACTGCGAGACGTCTAAGCTGCCTCTGGCTGACGGACTTGACACACTGCACAGTACAAAGTTTTAATAATTGAAAGCACGCTCTGTGAGGGAGCAAAAGTTGTTTTAAAAAAAAAGGAAAGGAAAACTTTCAAACCCGACAGATATGAATAAAACTTTATGCAAGTGGAAAGATTGTGCGCGGCGAGAAGACGGCAGGAGCCATCCATTCCGCACGTGCAGGGAATGTGCACGCCCTGTCCAGCCCACAGGGTTTCTGGAGCCTTTACCATGAGGGAGCACGGAGGTAGCCGGGCGAAAAGTGACACAGCTGGAGTCCTTGGAGTTTAGATGGTGGGGAGAGAGACAGTAAAAACAAAACCTGTGAGGTGGTGGTAGACCTGCTGTAGTCAAGGGAGCAATCTTGCCTTGCTCTGGGGGAGCCATCCAGTCGGAAAGTCCGGCGCCTGGGAGCCTGGAGCCCGCTGGCCTGTTGCAGGGATTGTGGAGCCAGTGTGGCTGGGCTCAGCAGCAAAGGGAAGCACAAGGAGGGGGAGCTGTAGACCTTGTGGGCTTTCACTCTGAGAGAAAGGCTGGAAGTTGGGGGGTGGGAGGAGCAAGGGGCACATCAGTCTGTACCAGTGTTTGCTCTGGCTGCTGTTGCGGTGAGCAAAAACAGAAAACCATAGCATATACGGAATAACTGCCACTACAGGGAAGAAACGATTCTGATCAGATGGTCACGCAATCTGGGGGAAGTGGTCAGACTTGAAAGTTTCTTTAGAGATGTACTTATTTATGTATACAAGAGCCAGGATGTAGGCCAGGGTTAGGGGAGACGGGTTGAGAGATTTCACCTGAGACACATGGGGAGTAGATCAGGCTGATCTACTGAAACCCACTGCTGAGGGGAGCAGCAGGGAGACAGGAGAGATCTGCTGTGCTCTATGGGTCACTCCCTGGCTGGGGATCAAACTCATGCCACAGTGGCTGGTGATAGCTTGATAGGACTGCCACCAGGGATGGAGCTTGAAGGGAGACGTGACAGGTGACTGGAAGCAAGTGGTGAGAAAGATGAGCCAAAGATAACGCAGCCACTGGAAGCACAAAGGTGGCTTTATACTATGTGGTTTTAAAACTGTGCATACATTCCTTAAATAGAAATTAAAAAATTGAAAGTGTTTTTGAACTGATTTTTTTTAAGATGTATTTATTTATGCATACAAGAACTGGGGTGTAGGCCAGAGGTTCTGGGGTGAGAGACTTCACCAGAGACAGAGTAGGGAGCAGAACAGGCAGATCGACGAAGTACACTGCTGAGGGGAGCAGAGGGCGGGTCAGGGGAGGTCTGCCGGGCCATGTGGATCTCCTCCTGGGCAGGTGGGGATCGAACTCATGCGAAAGTGGCTTAAGCTTCTTAGTGCAGTGCTTTTACCCGCTGCACCACCAGGGAGGGCCTTGAATTGTTTTTTTTTTAAAGATTTATTTTATGCATACAGAACTGGAGTACAGGCCAGAGATGCTGAGGTTGAGATGATTCACCAGAGACAGAATGGGGAGCAGAACAGGCAGACTGATGAAGTACACTGATGAGGGGAGCAGCAGGATACAGGAGAAGTCTGCTGAGCCCTGTGGGTCACCTCCTGGCCGGAGAGTTCAGGCAGGGTTTGAACTCGCACTGAAGCAGCTGCAGATAGCTTGCAGTGTTATATTTTAACCTGCTGCACCACCAGGAAGGGCCTGAATTGGATTTTTAAGGTGCTCTACCGGCCTCATTATCAAATGAGACAAGATGGACAACATTTATCTTCTACTGAACTTGGAATCACAGGAAACTATACTTACTGGGGCCTCCCTGGTGGTTCAGGCGTTAAAGTCTCAGGGCTATCAAGCAAGGAGCTGGAACCCATCCCCCAGGACGCCCCTCCCCCTCAGCTTTGTTTCAGTAGATCTACCTGTCTGGTCCCTGCCACAGTCACTGGTGACTCCTTTCAAT